CTTTCTCCAATCCTAATATCACAGTCCTGTTTAAGAGTCATATGTAGTTCACCAGCTTAAGTTTGGTTTTTAATATCAATCAGTAAGTAAGTCCCTATTTTCTGCACAAATTGTTCTAGGATGATGGCGTGAACCCCATAGTCGTAATGACCCTCTGATGGAAATCAGCATGCTAAACCTCGGGACTGGAAATGATAAACCACACAAGGCTACTCTAGGTTAGGCTTTGTGCCGAACTGGACGATAGCAAAACCGCCTACCACCAAGGCTAGGTTAGGACGGTGGGATCTAAACGTCGGACCTTAAGGTTCAAAGACCGCCGGTGACAGCGACCGAATCACTGCAGCACACGTAGGTGTGTGAAATAAAAAAGAGGTTTGAAGTTGAATTCAGTAATCCGTGGAACGTGGTATCCTTGGGCACAGAAGGGTCCAGTTCAAATTAATGGAAGAGTACCTCCTTTTCCGTTGTTCAGTGCATATGGGCCATGCGTACGCATGCTTAGAATCCATAACGACTGAAAATACATTCAACAAACCACGTTGTGAACTAATATAATGATAAACATATAAATTTAGCTTTATGATCATTTTATAGACCACAGAGCAATTATATCTATGGTGTGCTTGCTCACGGTTGACTGTACTTTATTGGTAAGCTGGGATGTACCCCACAGAAAGGAACGAGGTAGGTGTTCTTTATAATTGTTTGAATGTTTTTCGAATGATTGCAACTCGGAAAGCTGGCTGTTCACCCCTCAGTGACTTAGGAACGTTTTATCATGATTGGAGACAACAAGGTGCCGTCGGTATCCTCTGTATCACAACTTTGGCCAGTCTTCCCTATTCCCCGTGGTTTCGCTGTCGTGCGATTTCGGACCAATTTTTCAGTTACATTTCTGCGTCAGATAATAGATGGACTAAGGTTCAGGATAAAATAGACAACGGAACCAATATTGCTAAGTGTAAATAAAAAGGCACCCGGAGAAGAACCAGAACAGTCAGTCAAATTGGAATGTTTACATCATAAAAAGTTCGGACGGAGAAAAAGGTGCCTTATTGAAGTAAGCAAACCGCACATTGTGCTACTGAAATATATGTTGCTGAAGAGAATATGAAAGGCTATAAAATGTATTGCTCCAGTCTCAATATTCTTTTTTAATTGTCATTCATAACAAAAAATAATCGCTTTAGGCAGTACAAGATGACCAATATGTAATCATCAGTTGGATAAAAGTGTGGATTATGTAATCTCACATTGCAGCATATCCGTATGTTTTTCTTCTCATAACTGTGACACAAAATCTCTCTCGGCGCTACTGATAAGTCTAAACAAGAACGAAATCGCTATTTAGTGCCCTTTGTTTTCAACCATCACTTGATCAGTTTCCCCTGAAACGCACATGCCTATCATCCGAATGTATTTTCCCCATGAATTTCAAGTCCCGAACGAAGAAGCGAATAATTATAAGATGGTTTGCATTCGACTATCATCATTTTTACTTGTTCGAGCAACAATTTAACCGATACCCATTATGAGGGAGTGACTTTTGTCAGTTCCCACTCAGCAGAGAATTGTAGGAACAATAAGCTACCTGTAGCTAAATCCGCGTTCGCTGAGATATCCACAACTATCACTTTATTCTCTTTGAGGATAAGGAAGATGCCAGACGGGGGGAGGGCAGAGCTGTGTCAATAAAAAGCATGTCAAAAAATCAGGCACTGTTCGCTTTGTTTTAAATGATATCATTTTGAAAAGGTTGATGACGTATTGCATGTGAATGCCTGATTTTGGTTCCTCATTTTGACAGGAATGATTTTTTCCAAGTCTGGTCCGCAGGACACCGACCAAATACAGAACAGTTCTATCAGTCTTTGCCTAGTCTGACGCAAACCTGACGAAGAAAAGATTTCTTCTTTTGTTCCTGCAACATGGAAAAAGCGTGAAACCAAGCCAAATAATCACCATGACAACTGCATTATAATCCCAGCCTGACAACACAGATGTATTAAAGGTGTTAGCACAAACACGCTATGTACCGTTCTATTTCAGCGGTGGTTATGGTAGCAGTCACCGAAATACATGTGAGCGGCAAAATTTCAAGACGTTCATTGTGTTAATCTGAAAGATGGTGTTTGAAATCATTAATAATTTGAAGATCGAAGGTTATATTCAAATAGAGACAAACAAAGGTTCTTCACCTTTTAGGGGAATGTTAACACCGGTAGAATAAGACCTAAATTTACCGTAAAAGTACACTAATATTCCGGCTGCAGTACTGAGCTGTGCGCTTCTTCGAGGTACGTTCCTAAAACGCGTTTTCGGTGATCACCTATGGGCTGCAATATTCAAAAAATGAAGCTCATGGATTGGATTGGAATTTATCGTTCCACGAACGAATAATTCGAATAATTTAAATGTCATTTACGTGATCTCATGCACGGCAAATCTTTTCAAAAATCTGTTATCAATTATCAGGGTACGAAATAGTCTAAGTACGTTTGGGGCGTCTCATGGACGAAATTAAAACTCATGGGGAATGAAACTCGCAACCAGATTACACAGCTTGCAATGCTGATCGAAACAGAACTAACTTTAGTCATAAACTTGTTTACAAATATTTGATTTACTTTTGTCATCATAAATTATGTTTACAGCGGCTAATATTTTGCTACATACCCCCACAAAATCTTGTGAGAGCGCTATAAAGTAGCACAATCATAAAATGAGTTCAATGCAGCTATTTTTATTCATGAAACTCAGATCGCGTTTGGTTGAAAGAGTAAACTCATAGGTGTAGTCTTGCTACCGTTCACACAAATAATATCCGTCTACAGCCCGATTACAACCAGTAATGACTAACGCACCTCCCGAGGAACTAGCGCAACGGTTCAGTAAATTGCTGCAGCCAATCGAACATAAGTTTCCTAAATACTCCATAAACCACTCGATTGATTTCGTTGAAACCAGTCCGTGGTTTTAACTTTCCTGATCAACACACACGATCTCAGATGACGTTGCTTCATTATTAAATCAGTGTTTCTCCTTGTGAAGCTGTTGGCACTACTTTTTGCCACACGCCCGTGAACAAGTACTTCATCACATTGCCTCCAAAAGTTACTCACCTCAGGTACTATTTATACACAGTTCTGTTTTAAAGGAGATCGTTATTGTCAAGTTTGAGTTCCGATGGGTGAGGTGTACATCAGACCCCGTCTAGGCGGATCCAGTCATAAGGCCTTTGGATGACATGTTTGTCGTAATGACTGATACAAGACACGGATAGGTTATATTTGAAAACCTCAATCACTAACAGAAAAACATTGAATTTTCGGATAATGATGAAAACGAATTAGGCCTAATATTTGTGTATTTTATTTTGGAAGTTTTCCTGAAACAATATAAACGATCATAGATGTTTTGTTCTCTATAGTCAGGATAGTTTGCTCCGGTCAAACTTTAAAACTAAATTTTCACCATGTTTTACCTGCATTTCACGAAAACGGAGTCCCGAGGAGGTCTGTTGAGAAACATAGAAAACGTTCCAGAAAAACGCGCACGTAGAGGTCGTTTTGGGCGTGCTGTTTTCCTCACCCCACCATGGGCAGGTTAAATGGGATCATTGCACGAACTTGTAATGCTGTCGCCCTGAGAATATCCCACTAAATGAATTCGCACTTTTGACAAATCAGATTCTTTCGTTATTTCGTCATGTATCTTTATCTTTTTCAATGTACTGGTGGCACTAATTTCGTCGATGTCAGCGCTTATGCTAAAGAATCTGGCGTCTGACGAGTACAAGTCTCCACACAACTTACTATCTCGTCATCTAGCAGGTAGCATCAACAGATGTGAAATCCATAAAAATGCCTCCTTGCCAACTGTACCTTATCCGGCCGTCTAGGAGTGTTATAGGCTTTGCTCTCCCCATTGACTGGCTTCTATTGCCAGATATGTAAACTTGGTCACAAACGTATCACTTTATCAACCAAACGTGACCTGAATCCAGCGTGAACTCAGTGTAGTATGTTCCAACCAGGGAGAAGACTCGAAGGGTTCAAACGAAATTGTATTGATGCAATACGTAGTAACACTATAAGAATATTAAATAATTATATTACAAAATGGTAGTGTTATGTGTGGGTGCTGTTTTATTCTTCGTTCTCAGTGTCTTCTATTACGGTACCAGGCGTCATGCAACTTGTACAGCTGGATGTCAGTCATTCTCGATTATGCAGTACACTATCCCCCTCTTGCGAAAACGTCGTCCTTGACGTCCTAGCAAAACCTCCTTGAAACTTACTTCTAGTTCAACAGCAGCCTCTGGCGGGTTCACATTGTCTTCGATGTTATTTTTCCCCGACGTGGGGTATGATAGTTATGGTTTGAGTTGGTCGAAGTGTGTCACAAAGGTTGGTGGCATCGATCCAACTTCCCGGACGAGACAGTTTGTTTCCGATAGTACTCGTTCTACCACGAAGGGTTCACGCCAATTTTTTTTTGGAGTTTCGTTGCTACCCCAGGCGTCGTCTGTGTCTTATGGAACCATACTCGGTCGCCTGTCTTCGATGGGTCTCCGAAGCACTTCTTATCGTAATAGTCCTTCTGGTATCTATGCGATGCTTTGAGGGGTGTGTGAGCCATCTGGTTCTCTGTTCTTAGTGAGTCAATCGCCTTTGATACATACTCTTTGACTGTCCATGACTGGCGATCAATCGTTGGTAGTCGGTTATCGCTCGGGAGTCTCACTGCCCTGACAGTTCACAGGAAGTGTGAAATCGAAACTGAATTCACCTGATGTAACTGAGTGTCCTTGGATAAAACTATAGCGAGCTACATGGTTAGAGTTAAAAGCCATCCAAATGTTTCGGGGTATTAGTAGCAGCAAACGACAATGCTTTATTCTTTATGCTAACAATGTTCGAAAAATTCACACGATCTCAAAACAAATTCAAACTTTACGCCGTAGCTGTAACAACCGTTTCTTTTATTTGAACTAAATGTATCAGGAAAATATAGGACTTCGGGCGTTCAACTTTTCCTGGAACCCGTTGGTCAATAAGGCGGGGACAGAACTTGCACGTGCGATTCGCGAAAATTCGAGTCTGACAGATTTGACCATTCGTGATTGTCGTATTGAAGACAACGTGGCAGAAGCGATTGGTCAGGCTCTGTTCGTTGGATCTGCGGAGGATTCGAAACTGCAAAGCTTGGATTTACGTGGCAATCCGATCAGCACAAGCGGAGTACTGCGTTTGCTAAACCAAATTAATCGTATTGAAACAACGAAACTGACGAAGATTAGGATGGAGGTAATTTGTTCACTGTTTTGAGTTTGCGATTTCCAAAATTAGCAGTTGTTTGCTCTTGATAAATTGATGTTGATAAATGAATCCTAAGTTTTGCTTGAAATTATTAAAGCAACAGTGAGATTTACTTTCTGAATTTGATACAAATCCACTGTCAATTTCTTAATACTTGATCAAAATAAGTTTCACAGAACTTCTGCATGAACTCAGCACTAAACACCGGTAGTTAGCATTATTTGGTCTGAAGTGATTTACTACAATCAAATACAAAAACAAAAACAACTTTTGTACCCGATTTCTGGTGTTCGTGTTGGATCAGTTCAGGCAGATATGTGAATAAAATCGAAACCGGCCGTGCATTTTGCGTGTTTTATTCGGTGTAAAAATAGAGAGTTATACAATAATATCGCAGTAAATTACCAGTGAATCAAGCCGATTCTTTTCTTAGGACTTTGGACAGAGTAACTAGGTACTAATGTTTTATTATGAATGCTTAAACAGGTCTGGTAACACAAATCCACAAGTCAATCGACTACAGTGAGAGGCTCACTAGTGGATGGGCAGTTATTGTGATGAGGAAAATCAGAGTGGTTGAAATAAGTGCTCCATGCAGCTTCGAAAGCTTTTCCCTGATCCATGACAAACCAATGTGATTTAAATATACCCAAATTTTCAATTTCTATGATATCATTTGGCTTCATGTCATCAGAAGTTATTCTCACCACGAGTGCAACAGTTTACATCAGTTTGCCTTGGACGATATGAGATGATATTGTGTAGGTGAGAATCCTCCTCACGTCCTTATTACTGGAGGAGGAAAAGAATAGCAATCTGAAAGTCAGTTCACCTCAGTAATATAAACTCACCGGTAAGTGTGATCGTTTTTGCTACCAACAACATGCAATCTATTCCTAATTGAGAACAACAACGTGGCGAACAAGCTCGTTTTCAGTTATTCGTAATCATGCCATTACATAACGTTAAATATTACTAACAATAAGAATAAACACGGAATAAGAGATGCGAGTCCTGATGGTTTTTCTTCGGCTCCAATCATGCGTGCATGTGTGCCTGTGCGAAAATGATCACTGTCAACAGTTCACTTGATTGCACACGTGTACCCAGTGCCACAGAAACAGGTGAATGAGTATAAACAGAATGAGACTGTAGAATCTGGCACTCTGTCCTTCATTGGGAAACACATTATCGGTTTAGATATTAATTATGATATTAATTGATATTAATTGTGCAGCGTAAAATGTTCTGCTTAATGCACTTGTGAGCTTTCTTTGAACAAATTCTGCCTCCGTATCTCCCTTGAACGGCAGATGCACATAGACAATTTTTTCCGCTGCTCTTATTTCCTTAGGCCGATCCTCATGTTTTAGCATTGCCCTATCGATAAATCCATTCGGGGTAGCCATTCTGGACAAAGATAGCACGTACGAATTGAAGCTCACTGTCAATGGTATCCGTCGTGCATATTTTCTTCGCTCTCTGAACCAAAGAGCGAATCAGATTTCTCTTCCTCTGAAGAGGGACAAAACTATGGAAAACTATGGAAAAAGATATACTGTCCATTCCACTTTGCCTTCCTATGCACCGATAACTGGACGGAGCTATCGCTACGGTGTCTTATGAGTACGTCTAAAAAGGCTAAACTGTTGTTCTTCTCTTTTTCTAGAGTAATGCTCACGTTCTTAATTGACGGAGTAAAGCCGACTACCTGTCCCGAGATCCAAAGCTGGGCGTTCAGGTCTTTCCCCGTCCTACTTTTTGTGGTTATATTTCCGAGCACTGTGTAATCCCGAGTGAAAATATGCCAATCACGAGGAAGAGGAGAAACAGTTGACTGAAGGATCTTGGATTTCCCGCACGCTAGATCGTGTTGTGCCTGTGGGTGTGTATTGGTAATGGTTACACAAATCCAACCCAAAGTTTGCTTCATTTGTTTTCCAAATCACATTCGAATACCACCGCTCGGATATAACTAACTCATCCTACAGCTTCTCAGTGATCAAGAGGCGAGTAGTTTTGGTGTAGGCGACTGCCCGGATCATTTGAACCTCAAATATTCTGATTAAAGTTGGAATCGTTTTGTATGTCTCACAGTCCTACACGTGTGAGTAATTATGACTTGATCTATTCTTGTTTAAATGAAATTTCACTGTACTGCGAAAACGTTGACTAGGGGACATCTCAGGTAGTCCACATTACGGTACATCAAATCTGCAGCTCTCAGCGAGCCATCAGCATTCATGTCTTCACACACTGTTGCCTGGCAGTTTGTACTTGGTTTTATGCACTCTCGTAAAAATCTCTGATGACTTTAAGGATTTCTCTTCTGTTCATCTTCTTCAAACCAGCCTAGTCCTTTCACGAAGTCATTCGAAGTGAATTAACTGTTTTTACGGTAGAAACTTTGATTGGCTTACTCGAATGTTCAGAGGCACCAGGCACTCTTAATGGTCTTAACTGCTTTACAATTATTCAAAGATCATTGATTAGAAACCTACGCTTTTTGCCAAAGCAGTTGCGCAGTCCTTTAGTCGTGTCTGACAGATTCCATTGGGGCCCTTTGTATTGTGCCTTTTTCTTTGATCAGCACTAAAAGGTTGAATATGCTAAGGAGCTGCTGAAGTTTGTCACCTAAAATACTTATGATTTTACCATTTGTATTCAGATAGCTTGCATAAACTGGTGTTTACACCTCAGTTAAATGTACATTCTCTCCCTCCCCTCGAATATAATTTCTTCATATACATGCGTATATTCTTATTGAACTTTTCTATTATGCTTTATTTCTGATAACCGGCCGGGATATTGTCCGGTGCGAGCTGTTTCTTTCAATAATTTGTTTTGTTCTAGTTACACGCCGTTAGTGTAAACAGGTAATAATTAATACAGTCAAGATACCGATATTTTGTCCGATTCACCCCTTTGACATCTGGGGTAAATACTTTTATTAACCTTCACCACTGATAGTAGAATACAATCTGCGGATTAACATTAAGGCAGTTCAAAGAATTCGGTCTTCTCCTTACACGCCGGGAAATCAAAGGCGTGTAAGACAATATGCTTTTGCGTGTGACATCTTTCCATTGAACTCCTTTCTCATCCCTTCCGCACTCCTCGTATAAACGCACCACCCCCTTCCGATAAATTCATTTTTGTTTATTCACTTAGGATATTTCGTTTGACTGTCCATGTATGCGAATGATTGAAACGATTGAACAGAAGTTACCCAACCTATACATTGTACACGGTCCTGAACTCATTGTTGGCAACACGGTTGAGGATGTCAAATCAGCCGGCGGCCAGTTTGCCGATCTGTTTTCACTACTGCGACTGGGTATCCGGTTCGGAGGCAAACGTCTTGTCGATGCTCTCATGGATGCCGATACGGAAGGCGCTCAAACAGTCACCGTATCACAATTTGTGGAAGCATTGACGGTAAGATGCCCGCATCGTATGGAAGAAAATCGATGCCTTATGTGGAATGTTTCATTGATTGATGTGGCTTCATGTGCCTGTAGTGAATTAAAACGAGTCGCTGAATGATGTCCTTTTTTCACACTTGAGAAACATGCGGTGTAGATGGGAACTGTTGGTCAACAAATGTGTCGGTAATTGCAAGTATTTGAAGCTGCCGCTTACCTGTGAAACTTGTGGCCACTATGCTGAGTTATAAGTGAAAAGCCTTCGGTGTAAGTGTTTTCTTTTTGTGTATACGGTGAATGTTACAAAGCCTACCAGTTTTCCAATTTGTGAACAACTTGCAGCTTAGTTCAAGATTTGCATTGAACCCATCGTCACCAGTGAGTGCGTACATTGCTATGTTGACATCTGCATGGCGTATTGTTTTGTGGCCAATAAGATTTAAATGATTTTGCAAAGATTCTGCACCCGTAAGTTACTCATATTGTTTCATTTAAAGTAGCATTTCAAAACCCAAACTTTTATCAGGAAAAGAGATAAAAATTTTACGGTTAGCAGTTAATTCATGTTCTTTAACTGTTCGTTTAAACCATGCCTTCAGTTGTCAAATGCAGCTTTTTATTTTATTCTGTTTTAGTTATATTTACGTGTTAACTTTTTAGAGTAATTGATTTGCCAACGACCAGTGATCCGAAGCAATTAATTGCTCGAGGTTTGAAATTTGAAAGTTTTGAAAATCGTTGACGAACTTAAAGTCAAAGTCAAACTTATATTATGGGTGATTTAAGAAAGCCAAAGCTTATAATGCCCCATACGATTTTTACAGAATATTTCAGATAATTTACAAGGAGAAAATTGTAATAACTGCAATCTTCCTCATCACTCAGGGTGTCGAAGTTTTAAGTGTTCCAGTGCTTTATCAGGTTGGGATTTAAAGAGTTCAACTGTAGGAGCACACACTACATCAGATGGAAGATAATTCCATACACCGCACACTCTGACTGCAAACGAGTGATGCCGGAAATCAAGGTGGCTGTTCTGGGTCTTCAACTTTAGTGGATGTCTTCTGAGGTGATCATTTTGAGATAAAGTTAGTATAGGACGGCAAGGGTGGTTGGGTTGATGCAGTATGTGATATGTCAAAAATAATTCCCCCAAAGTCGTCGGTATTGAGATGAATAAATTCCCAATATTTGCAGTCTTTAGGTGTGTCTTGTTATACGGACTTTTTACCAATTTTGTTGCCAACATTTGAGGACCTCTTAGAGCCTTCTCGTCGCGGTTCAACCATGGATATCATACTTGTACTCCGTATGTGGATGAACGAACACTGATAGCAAGCGTGGGAACAGTGCTCTTTCGAACTGTCCGAAAACAAGTCTGAGTAGTCCAACTTGCTATGTACCCATGGAGGATGTTCTGGAAGAGTGTGTGAAACATCCTACGCCTTCTTATACCATAACTCCCAAATCCCTTTCATCAGTGGCATGCGGCAGAATTTGGTTCTCCAGAACATAGGAGAAACGAGTCTTGTGCTTTAGGGAAATAACTCTGCACTAGGAAACGTTGAACTCGATGCCATTGGTGATTGACTATCGGTGGGCTGTATGGATCGTTTGTAGGAGTGCTATATAATCCTCTACATGTGTTATAGTTCTCCAGATCTTAGCGTCGTCTGTAAATAGCAGTGTATTAGACCCAAGGACATGTGGCAGGTCGTTTATAAATGCAAGAAAGAGACGAGGCCCCAGTACGGATCCTTGAGGAACCTGTCAGGCAGCGGACATACGCTCAGATTATGAGTCACCAACACGAAAGGACATGGTTCTTTGTCGGAGAAACTCATCGATATAAATACTTACCAAACCTCTTACTCCTGAGTTGTAGAGTTTTGCAGTAGGATTTAGTGGTTTACTAGATCAAATGCTTTGGAAAAGTTCAAGTAAACTGTGTCCAGTGGCTCGCCTGAATCGACGGATTTAGCCCACTCATTTCGTGCAAGAAGCAGATTTGTGTGCACAAACGTTTGTGCCGAAATCCGTGCTGAGTTGCAGACCAAAGCTCATTCTTCTCCAGATATTCCAGCAACAGGTGTGCCACAACAGCTTCCATGACTTTCGACAGTATAGGAAAAAGTGTTACAGGGTGGTAGTTGGTGGGATAACTGCGACAGCCCTCTGTGTAAATGGATGAAACCACCCTTTCCTTCCGTGACTGCGGCATTTTCCGCGTACTTAAACATACTTTGGTAAATAACAGCCAGAGGTTTGGATATATCATTGGCTAGCCAGATCAGAGTCCGGGAATGCATGTTGTCTGCGCCTGGGGATGAATTCTTACGCAAAGTTAATAGTTTTACTCTAACCACTTTACCGTCAAAAGCAATATTAACCAGTGACGAATAGGGTATACAGGGTAGTTTGCTTGAAACCTGTAATGCTTTATGCGTCGTAGTAAACAGCTGATCGCATTGGATTTTGAGGAACTCTGCTGCTTCTAGGGTGCTAGTTAAAACATGTCCAGATGATCTCAGTGTTGGTATTCCGCACTTCAGCATCCTTGTCTAGCTAATATGTTTGAAGGCAACTTGGGATTATAAATGAATTTTTGAGCCAGAGTTACTTGGTACATCAATTTGTCCTCTCGTACAAACTTCGTACGCTGAGTTCACGGTAAAGAATAATTATTCCAAGTTTCGATAAATAGACATCTGTACTCCCGCCAGGAAAAGTCCCTTTACTCTATCCATTTCTTTGTTCGGCTGCGGACGAATGACTGTCGAGTAATAGATTTAGCACATGTATTTTTACTTGTTGCAGCCGTTACAATTTCGGTAAGATAATCAGTGAAGCTCTGCCATGCCACCAATGGATCGTATTATTCCTCTGAGAGGACCCATTGTTTAAGTAATTCCAGGTTTTGCAGCTTTTCGTACTCTATGATGGCACGAGTACTGCTCTTTCGGTTTTGTTAGGTAGAGGCGTAGCCCATAAAATCAAACTGCAATACGGCATGATCACTACGTCCTAGTGGAGACGTGACATTGACAAATATCACTATCGGCCCCTCGTTCTTTGGCACTAAATCCAATGTTGATGGTACGTGACCTGCTCCAAATCTGTTGGGTTCTTTTACGTGGTCGTACAATGGGTGCAAGCCAATGAACTGAGAACATTGTCTCTCGGATGGCTGGCGAGAAGTCCTCGTTCTAATAAGACTGGGACAGTTAAAATTACTCAATATTAGAGATTAGTGAACTTTTGTGGTAATGTATTCCTTATGCTATGCAACAGAATCTCGTTGGCTGAGTCTGAAGATGCGGGAGGTTGGCCTTCGATACAGATTAGACAACTATCGCTTTTGGAGAGTCTTAGTGAACTCCATAAACAATGGGGAGGGGGGGGTTGCTTCATCGGAAATATCACACACTGTATTCACACTGTAGATTGCTTCGATGATAAAGTGATGCTCTACCTCCTCGTAAAGAACGATCGAGTCTGAGCAATGGCACTCCCAATAGACGCAGTTCCGAGTCGGGAATGTCAGTGGTCAGCCAGGTTTCGGTAATAGGTAAACTGTCAAATCGATTAGCTCCATCAAATAAATGGTAAACAAATGTTCGCAAATAGGTTCCGTTTTTCGTTATTGCCAATTATTGAATGCATCTACCGGCCAGGACGGTAAACATGCAGCGCTTCCTACCGCTCGCTCAGACCATGTTTGTAATTTCGTTCAAGATGTTATAATTCCATAAGGTCGCGCCCAATCGAAGAAAGTTGTTTATTACAGATTACAGTTGAGATATCAATAAATTGTCATACATACAACAGATATCTCATTTGAAATATGTTATTGCCGTTCCCGGCAGCATACCGGGTAATGAATGGAGCAGTCCGTACAGTGCGTGGCGTTGAGGACAGAACGACTTCAAGATAACCGTATTGAGAAACTGATTACTTGCGAGTAGTCAGATCAAATGAAGTTTCTCATTTTCACACTCTTGTACACTGTGCCCAGAGCTGGTTCGTCACCTATGGGCATACTTCTCAGCCTAAAAGGTATACTTGGCTGCTGTTGTTGTAACTGAGTAAATTAATTGGAAATACCAACCTCATCACAAGCAAATTATTGTAATATGTTTTAATAAATATTTGTGATTCGGTTATTTTAACAAAGACGAATCTGTGAAACATGCATCGCAGCATCGAGATACGGTGCTATCTTCTTGCTATGGCGTAGCGTATATTACGGTCAAAGGCGAATCGCACCTGACTTGCATTATTGGGTTCCATTTTCTCTGTTACACACCAAACTTGTTTCCCATTTGTTGACGGCTTGACTAGGGCGTAATATTATATGGTTTGTTCAGTTCTTAGAAAAAACAGTACCAATTGGTCCAGAGTGCCTTCTACAAGTTGTATTCTGAAGACGACTCTGTCAAGAGCTATTTTCTTAATAACAGATCCTGACGGCTGGTGTTCACTACATGAGTGATGGAATGAAAGCTACGCTTCATAGACCACCCATAAGATACGCCGAACGTATGTAAAGTCTCCTAATACTAGCCCCTGGTATTCTTGACCAGTTTTCACGTTGCTGTTAGATTCAAAAACAAATGAAAAAACAAATGCAAAAAACATTTTAAATGAATTATTTTTTATACTAATAAATTTTTAAACAAGTGATTCATTTATTATGTAGCTTTTGCAACAATTGTAATTGGCTAGATGTAAATCCGGATATTTCAAGCCTTTAGCGCGTCAAATAGTGACAGTCAAATGGTGGAGGTCGCCAACTTATTCTCCCAAAGGACGTGCGGTCGAATCCCACCACAATTGATTGATTTTTCTTTTTTTTCTATGTTTTACGACAGCTCTCGGATTGGCGGTTTCCTTCTTCTTGAGATCTGTCATTATTTACTCCATAAAAAGGAATTAAAATAAAAGATATAAAATATAAACCAACTAACTCCGGTTCCACAGATATGCCCCAATGATGACTGCACGATGAATAAAACGCTTCAAATATTTTTCACTGGCGAATAAAAATGGATTAGGGCTGTGAATGGGAGTTACCTTCCAAACCATCTGAACTCAAGCAGGCTATAATCCTGGAGGTTTTAA